ATAGTTTAAAGTTTAATGACTATTATATTTTTATTCCATTTATCATAGTTACCATTTAATTTCTAGCCTGTTTTGTACCATTCCTTAAATCCGTCCTGCTTGATCTGCACTAATGACACTTATCACAGTTGATTTTTATAATCCTTTTTTAAATTTGTGCTATCCATTTTGTTATCACCACTCACCATATTGATAGTTTTATCAACTACATTAATTCAATGTCGACTACACCATATATCGGTAGATCCATTGCATCCGTGTGGAATCTATAGTGCTTACAAATTTGCATATATCATGTAGTCAAATGATATTTTGCTTTGTAGCTAGGTAGGTGACGCCATATAACTTTTGAATAAATTAAAATGGACTAATTAGTAAATGCTTTTAAGAAGTGGATGATGATTATCACTCTATCATCCCACGTTTCATACACGCTGCGACTTATATTTTGATTTAGTTGTTTTATGGGTTTGGTCCAATTCCACCACTAAACACTATGCACAACTGCAAAAAATTATTTAAATTAATTCCACTCCCGATATCATCGGTCAAATGAGACTAATGAGTCCACCAAACTCCACAATTAGACTATCCATAAATAAAATAGAAAATTTGAAGTTATCAACGTGCGATAAGATCCCATTTTTGCTATATAATAATAAATAAATGAACAAAACAAAAAATAGATTTGACTAAAATTTGGCTATAAATTTGAGTTTCAAATAAGCCAAACCCGTCAACACCTCTCCTTTAAGGATCTCTCTCCCTTCAAAGAAAATATCACAAAAATGGCAAACGTCTCCGCCCTGCTCACGATAGCTCTTCTCCTTTGCTCCATGCTCATGTGCACTGCCCGCCCCGAACCGGCTATATCCGTCTCTATCGCGACTGCTGCCGATCCATGTAACATGGTTAGTCTGATCCACATGCCAATGCCATGACTCAATTTCCTAATTCTTTTTTAAAAAATACTTAACTCGTCAAATATGTTTAGTTAAAAGTTTTGTAATGTATGATTAATTTGGCAGGAGAAGAAGATAGAAGGAAAATTAGATGACATGGTAGAAGAAAACTGTGGTTCCGACGACGAAGATTGCTTAATGAGGAGGACTTTGGTCGCTCATACTGATTACATCTATACCCAGAAGAAGAAGAAGAATCTTTGAGTTTCACTAATTTATTTCTAACAAACTTTTGCTTAAGGTTATGTGATTTATGTCATCTTTAATTAGTATTTGTCACAAACAACATCAAGATAGTTATGGTTGTGATTATTTATATGTAATTTGGATGATATTTTGTAAAACTAGAACCGTATGTTTTAGAAGTTTGACAATAAATTTTTTATATCATAGTGATTTGTGATAGTGTCGTCGCATATACTGTATGTGTTGACAAACCAAAAAAACACATGAAATAATTCGAGCAAAATCATATATAAACTATAAAATGGAAAGTGGAATGGATTCATGGAATCTTTTTTATTGAAAATATATGTTGTCTTGTTTGATTAATTGGACGGGACGGGACTGCTAAACATTTGTTTCATATAACTAGCAAAAGTTGATATGTCAGATCATTTCTGAAGAACCAAATTATTCAGACTGATTTTTCTGATTAGCCATTACTATTGTATATCTAATAAAAATTATACCTGATTTTGATGGACATATTAACTATTATTTTAAAAATATTATATGCGTTGAACTTCAAATTAACAATTTAACAAATATTAAAATATCCACTTCTCATTTTATGCTAAAAGACTTCAACTATCAAATCTCAAGCCAAGAGGCTGCTGACCTTGTGGGAGCTTTTCACATACCCAAATCTTAGCCTCTTTTGCATATCAAATCTTAGAAATTCATTGTTTTAATTTTAGAGAAGATCAATAATTGGAGATTATTGGTGGAAGTTCATCAACAAATAGATGTGTCTCTCTAATTGCTCAGAGTGTTTCTTTTTGGATTCACTATTACAATCTTTGAATCTTATGTAGTAACATGTTCTCCTTCTTGGTTCCATAGGGTTATTGAAGATGAAAGAGTATCCTCTTAACCTTTTGACTTCTTGTGTAGATAAGTGTTCTAATCGGCTAACACCTCTCTTTGTCCACCTTGATTGTGATACACGTCCTGGATTCCACCAAGACAAGACTTACGGTTTCACGGTTTAGAAGCTTAGGCGGAGGTGGTTTGAATGGAGGGTAATCGGTTTGATGCTTGATTCCACAAACACGGAGGGTGAGAGACAGGGATTCAAGGGTTATTTCTCGCGACAATCAAAGGCTCCACACGAACACCAAGTGATTTGATTCAACAAAACACTTAAGAACTCGCCAAGAACAATTATATTGATTCAAACTTGAAGTTGAAGCAAAAAACAGACTTTGATTGATTGATAAAACGTGAATACAAAGTAGAGAAGCAAAGAGGTTAAATAGAAAAGTACAACAACTGTCTAAAACTTAGAAAAGGAAACTGAATGATGTGAAATAAAGAGAGGAGCGTGAATATAAACAACACGAGTCTTCAAAGTGGTCAGGTGGTTCTTCGGTTTGAATCAGCTCAATTCGGGTCGTGAGACTCGATAGCCGGTATGGTCCACCGGTACAAGATATGGACCAACTCTGATTGTAGCTCGATGATGGGGTAATCCGCTTCGATCAAAAGCTTCTTTAAGGTGGATTTTCAAGTGAATTCCCTGGCCGAACTCCATTTGATGGTTTGGTGAAGTATTGTTCAAGAGAACTCGTTTTTGGTGTGTTACGGGTCGACACGAGGCGTCTCCGGGTGGAACGTCTTTAAATTGAGGTCGATGATGATAGATTCTGGCTCGATCAAAGCTCTCCAACTGGTCATGTTGTTGATGAATTCCCAAGCTGGTTCGGTGAAAGTCATCGTTGGTACGGGCGAGATGCTTTAGGCTCCATATGAGTGCTCCCGGTCGGTAAGGCGGTACGGGTTCGATGCGGTGAGATCAGCTTCCGTTCTTATATCAGATTAATGGAGAATATTTCCATACCTTTAGAAGTAGATTTGCACATATTTGCACATATCGTATCTTTCCATATTGTTGAGAAAATAACTTGGTCTGCAAGTTGATATCGTTTGTATATGAGACCTTCATGGTCAAGAGAAATACACAGAAAAGTTTTCAATCGATCCTCTTGAATTTATCACAGATTGTAACAAGATTGGTTTGTAATGGTTGCCCAACTTTCTAATATATATATTTTTTTCAGACGGAAAAATAAACAAAGACTTCAACTATCTCTAAAAAGTAAAAACTTGTCATAATGAACTAAACTCTACAGTATCAAGTAGTGACACACATCGTGAAATGACATATTCAGTTTACTTTGGAACTACAAGATCTCCAAATCATAAATCTAAAAGTTCACTTAAAACATTTCTCGTTTTCTCATCTTTGTCGTTCGTTCTCGGTAATTTAAGAAATTTAACTTTAATTATTTTAAATGTATAATTTACATTTATATTTTTTTTAGTTTGCAAAACTTGGATCTATTCTATCTCTATAAAAAAATGCAAATTTGTATCTTTATCCTTATGAGAGTCAATAATAACTCTTCCTAAATATTTTTGTGTACTCTCACAAATTTATCATTGTCCCATGTTTTTTACATCTCTGTTGAGCTCTCACCCACATTTCTCATTATTCATCTAAATTTAAGACATATATTTCAGTAAGAAATTGAAGCAACAAAATAAAAGTAAATGGTATGGTGATCTGATTATCATTTCCATAAACTCAATATCAACAAACCCTAGAAGAAAAACCCAATAGTAAGGAATAATTTCCGTTTCCTATTATATGGTATTGTATTTATCTGTAATCTATTAGAATAATATTTTTGTAAAATATATTTGGTAACCAATTAAATTGATAAAAAAAAAATTTCTAATCAATTTTTACTTTGATGGACGGTTGAGATTCTATTTAATGTTAAGGATATATGCATTTAGCACATCATAAATACATTCCAAAAAGATTCTAAAAATACAACACATAGAAAATAATTTATACGCAAGGGATAGAAACATAATTGAATGATGTGATGTGCAATGATACATACTTTTGAGGAAATTCTCCTCAATTAATATATTATCGGATACTCCAATATGTGTACAAATGTTGTGCAAGATCAAAACATATGTAAGTACTAGAGAAAGATTTGAAACCCTAATTCAACGAATCAAAAATAAATCTTTGATTATTTTGAAGTGAAATCGAGTAAATCAAAACAAAAACGTTTGAAAGATCTTAAAAGAAAAACGATTATTGAAATTTTGAAACTTTGAAACCCTAAAGATCGACTACAAAATTACTAACCGAAGAGAATGATAAATCAACGATGTCAAACAACAATATAAACTAAACGAAATCTGGATGAAATCAAATGAAATTAAAGAATAAATGCGGACTTTCAGAGCAATTTTCAGTCCAGGATTACAAAGAATAATGGAAGACTCACAGAGAAAATGGAATAACTTTTTTTTGTTTTGTTTTGGGCATCGTAGCGGAAAGGGCTTTATTCGCTTTTCCAGCCCATACTATGTCGGCAGAAAAAATACTTTTAAATTTTATTTTAATAAAAATATATTACTTAAAGTAAAACATTTAATAATAGTGTTAGTATTATATTTAGAGGGGTTAAAAATAGAAAACAAAAGTTGTTAACAAAACTAAAACTGATTTATGTAGCTTATATACATATATATATATATATATATATATTCCTAAAATATCATATAATCATTTAATTTTATCATTGAAAGAAAAAAAGATGTGAAATTTGGCATAAATTTTGTAATTTAAATTGCCAAAACAGTTTAAAACAATTTGCAATAAAACTTACCTGAATCCAATCTAAGTATGAAGCTAAATTAAAATAAATTCTTTTTTTTAAAAAAAAAACTAATTATTCTTACTGTTAATTTTGGGTGAGGTATAAAATGCAATTGAATTGCCTCATCATACAATTTTTTCTTTACACATTCTAATTCAAACAAAAATAGTTTTTATGCAATTTTGATAGGGTTAGCCGACCAACGAGAGCAAAGGATTCATGGATGAATTGCAAGTCACGAGGATTCTAGCACATCAAATCATAAATTGGATTGAGGCGCGAATTGATCATGTGGAAGACTTCAACCAAAATGCTATATACATTGCACAACTTGATGTTGTTTTGCAGTTTATGCAAACATGTGTTTTAGACGCTCAAGATGTTTTAAATCCGCCAGCTGTAATCGTGGATGAATTGCATGACACGAGGTTGCTAGCAAATCACATCCTAAATGAGATTGAAGTGCAAATTAATCATGTGGAAGCCTTCAACCAAAATGCTGTTCACGTTGCACAACTTGATGTTGTTTTGCAGTTTATGGAAACATTTGCTTTGGTTGCTCAACGTGTTTTAAATCCGCAAGCATTCCAGGCCGTTCCTCCTCCAGATGAATTGTATGCCAGGAGGATGCTAGCACTTCAAATCTTAAATGGGATTGAGGCGCGAATTCATCATGTGAAAACCTTCAACCAAAATGTTGTACACATTGCACAACTTGATGTTGTTTTGGATTTCGTGGAAGTATTGGGCATCATTGCTCATGATTTAGTAGATCCATTTCAGGCAGCTCCTCAGCTAGGTGAGGAGGGTATTGACGACAACATGTAAAACTCGACGTTCCAGCCTAATGACGTTTGAGAAGAATGCCTCCGTATGACTTCTTTTATCTAGATATCTTTTTGACTTTCTATGCTTAGAGAATTAAATGTGATCCTTGGGAGTACTGGCAAAAATATCTATGCAATGCTTTGTAATTTTGATTTCATGAACTTGCGGGTATAAACATAGAAAACACAGAAATATTTGTGTTTATCATTTGCAGATGCAGCTAAATCTCCGTCGCAGAAAAAAAAATGCAATTTTGATAATGAAAATGAACCCAATATATAAATTTTAAAGAATGCAATAATTTTACTTCCTCATCATACTCTAAATTTTGGATGAGTAAAAAATACAACACTTTTATTCTATCGTCATACATTTGCTATTTAGACGCTCGAAATCCAAATAAAAAATTTTCCAACTAAATTTGTTATTGAAGGAAATTGTTGATGTAAAGAAAAATGCAATGTATACCTTACCATGATATTAGAAAAAAAACATCATAAGGTTAACAACATGATTTTATCATATACGATAGTGAAATACAATTTTTTTTTTTTATAATAACTTAAGTGAAATATATTTTTTCTATGAAAAAAATATACACATATACTTGTAGGCTTGTAGCACTCAAAAAAATGCAATGCCACCAAAAATAATTTTGGCTCCAGATTAAGTAACAATTTTAATTAACTCATCAACTTTAGTTTCTTCTATTTTTAGGTAGTGTTCTTCCTTCACAACCCATCCCAGAAAATGAGAAATTTGTTATAGTTGTTAAACATATACAATCATCATTGGCTAATACAAAGTTAGATTTATAATTTTGACATTTTAAAAAGAATGAATATCTTAGCTTGGTTTACCACATCATATTGAAAGCATACGTTGAAAAAAAAAGAGATTTTGATGTGTATTTGATCTCAGAAAAAAGAGCGTTTTTATATAGAACGTTTTTGATGTGTATTTTTATGTACTTATTTTGGGCTGAAAAAAGAGCGTTTTTATATTGTTTTCTTATTAACAAAAAAAAATAGTAGTTGACACAAAACAAAAAAAAAAATTGTCAGAAAATGAAAGCCTCCGTCTGAAACAGAAGGAACCACTTTGGTCATAAAACTCTAAAAACCCTATCTTCTTCATTCTAAACCCCAAAAGGCCAAAACACAGAGACCAAAAAAAAACAATGGTGCTACTTCTCCGATATCGATCCATAACGATAAATCTCACTCCTTTAATCCCCAAATCTCACAAATTCCACACTCTCCAATCATTTCGTAACCCTAATTTCATCTCCACCCCAAAAGTCTCAGCCTCTTCGAACAATCCAACACCAACAACGAATCGTTCGATCTCCGACGCGGCCAAATTCGCTAAGTCAGTGTTATTCATACCTCCTGGTGTAGAGATTGAGGAACTAACAGATGATATGGTTCTTCCGGGCTCCAATATCGTAATCGGACCTTTTGCGGGTCATTCACAAATCAAAGAAGTTGAATTTGTTAAAAGTAGTGCTCGAGCTAGAGATTGTCCTAAAGATGATCGTCCTGAGATTGCGATTTTGGGTCGTTCTAATGTTGGCAAGTCTTCGCTTATCAACTGTTTGGTTCGTAAGAAGGAAGTTGCTCTTACCTCTAAGAAACCTGGTTTGTGTTTCTTACAATTTTGCTTAAAAAATTGAACTTTTATGTTTTGGGAATCTGAAAGTTTTGATTTTTATTTTTGGTTGAAACAGGGAAGACTCAGCTTATAAATCATTTCTTGGTGAATAAGAGTTGGTACATTGTGGATTTGCCTGGTTATGGGTATGTGTTTTGATCTCTTGCTTTTCAGATAAAAGAATCAGTTTTCTTGGTTGATATTGAGACTAGGATTTGGTATTCGGGTAATCGGTCTGGTTCGGTTTGGAAATTTCGGAACTTTGGTGTTTATGTTTTGCGAAATTCTCACTGAATTAGATCGAATGAAAGTTCGTTTCGGTTCAGTTCGAAAAGGATAAAGTTTGGTTCAGTTCAAAGTAGAAAATTGGTTCCTAAGTAGAATCGAAAACCAAATTTGGTTCGGCTTTTACATAAGAAAAGTTTTGGCTAAATTTGGTATATTTGGGCTCATTTTGGTAAAATTTAGGATACAGTTACAGTTATTCGGTTAAGTTTAGGATCAAAGTTCAGTATTTTTGGTTTGGTAGTTCCGAACCAAACGGAACCAGTTACCCAATTTCATCATTCCTCTTGCCAATTGGTTTTCAACCAATAAAAGGAATCCGAACCAACTTAGCTAAGTTTTAGTTCGGTTTGGTTGGCTTATTCGGTTCTGAACTGGTACATTTTGGATTTGCCTGGTGATTGTTTTTGATGATTTTGGTTTGATTTACCGTAAGAAGAAACAGAACAATAATGTTTGGTTAAATTTGGTATATTTTGGTGCTTTCTGTTTAATTTGGGTAAAATTTCGGTTATTCGCGTTCAGTTTATGACAGTATATAAGTAATTTTACTTAAATTTAGTATAAAGTTTTGGTAATTTCGGTTAGGTGGTTCCGAACTGAACCGGTTGAGTTGGCGAATTCGGTTTGGAACTGGTACATAGTGGATTTGACTGGTTATTTGGATATGTATTTGATATCTTGCTTTCAGATAAAAGTTCTTGTTTGATGTTGAGACTGTATTTGCAGATTTGCTAAAGTTTCAGATGCTGCGAAAACAGATTGGTCTGCGTTTACTAAAGGTTACTTCTTGAATAGAGACACTCTTGTATGTGTTCTTCTTCTGATCGATGCAAGTGTTCCTCCTCAGAAGATTGATCTTGATTGTGCTAATTGGCTTGGTCGCAACAATGTAAGTGGTAAATTTGGCTTTTGTGTGTTCAGTGAAATGTTGCTTTGAAGAATTGTTTATTATCGTTTTTGATGATTTCAGGTACCGATGACTTTTGTGTTTACGAAATGCGATAAAATGAAAGCAACAAAAGGGAAAAGACCTGATGAGAACATCAAAGCTTTTCAACAAATCATTAGAGAGAATTTCAAAGTACATCCTCCTTGGATTTTGACGAGTAGTGTATCCGGTTTGGGCAGAGACGAGCTTCTTCTTCATATGTCGCAGCTGAGAAACTACTGGGATCAATAGGAATCTTGTAAATTTCGCAGACAAATGTTCGAAAAGGTCTGTTTTAAAACATTGGTTATATCAAATGGCAGTTTTGTAATGTAACGGTAACTTTTGTATTCATAGATAAGATCGTAAAATGTTACTATAGTTATAATTCTGTGGAAACAATTTCAAGAATTGCCGAAAAACTGGCAAGAATTACAATTAAAGGAAGCTTTTTTTCTCGCTACCATCTTGAAAGATTTGCAGGACTAAGAAGAGGGAAAGCTTCCCAAAACCGAGATGATGACGGTGAAAGATCAAACACGAACGGGTTATCCGTAGCTGTTGTTGTGTCATCAGAAATCTTGACTGGCTTAACTTCAACTTGATGCACCTCTTGCTCATGGTCATGTGCACCAGTTAGCCTCTGAACCAACTCCTTAAAGTTAACAGGCTCGACTCGGTAAACTTTAGGATGCATCCGCTGAGGCAAACCCGTTACGGGTTTTTTCCATGGCTTTGCCGGTTGCTTTCGGGTCGAATGAAGCGAGGACTGGTAGTTCTGAGAGAAACATGGCTGAGAAGTAGCTTCCATGACGATCAGAAGTTTCTGTAATACACAAATGATTTGAAGCGAAGTGTCTTCTTATCTTGATGGCTTTGTGTGTACATAAGTATTTATATGTGTGTGGACGGCATTATTATATGTCAACGTTTTTGAAGCGTGTGGGTCAAAAGTGTTTTGGGTTTTATGATCTTCTTTTGCGGCTTATTCGGTTTTGACTTTTAAGTGAAATAAATGTGCGTTTTTGGGAACGAGATGGGTTGGTTCATGGAATTGAAATGTCAACGTGGGTGTGCTAACTATTTTTATTTTCTTGTTTATTTTTATGTTAGGTGGAAAAGCAATGAGAACAATTTTGGATTAACATGGTTTTTCTTTTTGTTATAATAGTATTATCAACATATATATATATATAGATATCTGTATATATATTCATATATTTTCAATAATTCTACTAAACAACAATTCAAAACTCAGAATAAAGTGTATATATATTTTCTCATATACAAAACAATACAAAACTAATGCTCGGACTGATTTTCTAGCTAAAAAGGCTCGGATACATAAGTGTTTTTTCCCCATGTAAACATGTTTGTTCCTGAATGGCTCCCTCTAGAGGAGAGTCTTTTTCCGATTACTTGATATAATGGTGTTTCGACGGAAAAAAAAAAACAATACAAAACAATTCAAAAATATATTTATCCAAAGATATGATATATTTATATATGTATAAATATCACAATAAATCACTATAGAAGAACATTATTCTATTGTATACTGTTTTCAGTCTCATCACTTATCGAGATATCTCTTTTGTAGAAGAACATTATTCTATTGTATACTTTGTTCTTCTAAAGTTATTTATTGTGCATTAATCCATGATGCAAGTCTAACATTGAAGTAGAGAGGTTCCTGGTCTGTTTGAGCAATGGGAAAATCATAATTTTTATTTTTTTTGATAAAAAAATCATTAGTTACTTAATTCTCTTGTTTTATTTCTTTCTATCTTTCGTTAGGATCCTAGAAAAAAAAATGTTTAGGTCCACAACTACTCAAAATAACAAACAAACAAAACTTTTGCTTCCAAGTGTCAGAGTAAAAGCAATAATGTAAAGAGATATCTTCTTGATAAGTGATGAGACTCAATTATCCACATAGAAAGATATCCTATCTATAAAACTTGAATACCACTTTCCAATGTTTGCAAACATTTTAGAAGTTGTTACATTTACCCTAAAAATTATATATTAAACTTTTCAAATCTATCAAAATTGTGATCTACATGTTTTTAAGTAAAAGAAAACATTTGGTTTTTGACAATCAAATTAATAAGTCTCAAACTAAAAGATAGATTAATCTCGAAGCCGCGGGTAAAAGATTGAGTTTTTGCCACTTAAAAATGGCGAAGAATATATCTAAAAGTGCCGCTAACATTTGAATATGTCGGTTTCTTCCATCCATTCGGAGTTTGACTCGGTCCATGACCTCGGTCTCACCCCCATCTTGAAATACAACACCATCTCCATTGCCTCAAAGACCTTGGTTTCATCCAAAACCTTGTTCCAAACCCCACTCACTACGCAGTAATTGTTATTATACGGTGCTTGGTGATGATTCACATGATGTATCCGTGAAACAAGCAGCCCAATGTCTTGCAACCTCACCACAAGAGGTGGAAGCTTGCTCTTGGTTCCATGAGCCCAAGCATGGAATAGCTGACAAAACAACACGCTAAATGCAAACATGCTTACAAAGCCATGAAACACATGGTCATCAAATGCAAGGTCTAGTGGGAGAACTATCAAAGTTGTGCCTCGAGCCATAAAATGTAAATTGTTTGCAAATTGCCGTCTGGTGATTGTCCAAGGCCACTTGTGGTGATCTTGAGAATCTTCGATATGGGTTCCTACTAGAGGCGTTGACTCATCACCGTAGTTATCGGTGGCCCAGTGGTAGACACCAGAACCTAGATCTGCTAAGAAGTACCCGGCAAAACCGGCTAAAGTTGGTTCGAGCCAGAGATGAGAACCAAATGCTCCAATGATCGATTTGGCAAAAGAGACAAACACAGTGGTGCAGCCAGCTGCAACCCATAAGCGGTGAGTCCATGTAGATTGTAGAGTTGAGTCGTTGGAGAGAGGAGGATTCACAAGTCGTTGCTCAAGAACAAGCCTCTCATGGTTAGGCTGAGAGTTGGTGGTGGGAGTAGTAACCAAGCACGTGACACAGAGAAGCGACGGACGGTGGCTTCTTGGGATGTTGTTTGTGATGGGACTTAGAGTGTACTTTGTTTGAAGAGGTATTGCCATTGAAGAAGAGGAAGATATCAAGTTTCTTGTTTTTTTTTCCAAAGCTTAAAAAAAAAGGATTGAGGAAGAAAAACAAATCATTTAAAAGAGATAATTTCGACCCCAAAAAAAGTAACAGAGTAAGAGATAATAACATTAGAAGAAAATCTCAAAATTTGGATTATTTTATGAAGTTACCAACTAAAAACTAACGTCAAAAGGTATTAAACCCAAAATTGCTCGTTAATCCAGATTTTATTAGTATTACTAGGTTTAAAACCCGCGCTACGCTGCGGGGTATTTTTCTAAATTGTGCTTAATTCTTATTTAGACAAAAAAAAAATCAATACTTTAATTTTTAAAAGTCAATACTTAATCAATAGTTTGTGTATATTTAAATTTGATGTAATATTTAACACATAACCATTTCAAATCAGTTATGCTATTCTCATTGGTCCTTTCACTCATAATTTATATTTTATCGCTCCACGGTCCAAGTCAGTGCACAGTAACCATCATAGCACAAAAATATATAATAAACAACAAAAAAATACTAAATTCATATTTCAAATTATAGGAATGAATAACACCAAATCTCAGTAGCCTTACATATTGCATATTGAAACTTAGTGATCCACCGAAAACATAAGATGAATAATTCATAATGAGCAGAAACGTTTTAAGAGGACAAACAAACCCTCATCAAGATGCCTACACTCATTAAAATGATGCTAAATTTTTGGATTTTGCTTATAATTGAAATGAAATTGGGGCCTTGTTGACATGTAATTCTTCGTTGGATCATAAGGTGCCAACAAAGGATCCACTTGATGAGACTCAAACACATGTAATGTGTAAGACACAAAAGGAGGGAGAGGGCTGATCTTGAAGCTTGTAACATCAAGCTGCTTCTTTTTATGGATGCAAATCTGCTCATGATCTCTATCTTTCCCAATTATGCTTATTACATTACAAAATGAGACAGATGATCGAACATGATGATGGGTTTTGTGAAAGGACCGAGACACTTCGTTTTTATCCGACAAGATCTTCTTCTATGATGATGAGTTTTGTGAAAGGACCGAGACACTTCGTTTTTATCTGACAAGATCTTCTTCCATGGCGATGGATTGATCTTGTACACAGCTAAAATTGTCGGTAACATAAAGTGTTTCGAACCTTTTGATACCTTAGGGTGGAGAGCCTTGCAGCGACAGCCAGGTGAGAAGAAATCAACAACAACAAGCTTATCACCAGCGTTGGTGAGAGAGTCAACGAGTTCTTGAGCTAAAAAGATCTCTCTCATGTTTTCTTTAATTCAGACCTTTCTTCCACCACTTTCTGAGCTGTTCCAATCCTCGGCGTTGTTTGCAAATTTACACATTTCAGACTCATATTTACACAGATCCAAAAAACTCAACAGATAAAATTGAAAACACATGAACCCTAAACCAAAATCTTCTCATCAAGCCATAATTCACTAAAAAATCAAGATCTTTCTAATTAGCTCTCACATGTAACTATTGAGAGCTAAATTGCGCATCAATTTTTAAAATCATTGATTAAATAGTACATAATTATGTTTAAATTTCCAATCTCAAAGCTAAGAAACCAAATATATCTCAACGACTATCACAAATCCTACAAACTCTCATTAAAGCAAACTTGCTACAACATCATGCTTATTGCTTGAAGAATCGAAAACGGCACGAGCGGTTTCCAAAACGCTTTGACCGCAAACGTAATGACTCCGACACACAGGCATATAGACTTCAGCTCCACCGATCAACTCCGTCTCTTTCTCCTCCGTCTTCCTCATCGTCAACAATGCTCTCTTCCCACAAACCTCACACCGTGACGTCAGCTTCGTAACCGTATCCGCAATCGGAATCAAATCAAGCACCGAACCAAACCTCCTCCGCTTAAAATCACCATCAAATCCAGCAACAATTACAGTTGTTCCCTCTTTATCAGCAGCTTCACGGCAAAATTCGTATAGATCTCCGAAGAATTGAGCTTCGTCGATTCCAATCACATCTAATCGATTCACGTATTCGTCGAATCCGAGTCTCTCTTTGAAGGACGATAGGATTATAAAATTTTGGGACAAACAAAAATGAAAACACAAGAAATCAAATTTACCTGAGATGTGATGGCTGATGATCGGAAGCTCCTTTTGAATATCTCGTCTTGAGCATAACCGAAAACGATCTGTTTTCCATGGAATTAACTTCTAAGAGGCTTTTATCTCTTAAGCTCCAGACAAGAGAAACTCTTTTTCAGACCAAACCCACCAAAACTCACCGGAGATAAAGAGAAATCATTAATACGGTGATGATTCTCACAAGTATCTCGTCACAGATATGGAAGAAGATGCGGAGGAGAGAAACAGTTTCGCTACTTTGTGAATAATTTAGAATTGTGTCTACAAAGATGAAGACGGAGAGAAGAGAACAATGTGTCCAGCTTGGCCAATTTTTAGCTGAGCTGTATTATTTGTTATATTTTGATTGGTGAAGTCATTTAACTGATGTGTCAGCTCTAGAATACATGAAAAAGCTGAGGTGTCAGGCATGGAGAGACTCTTATTATTTTTATTGTATTGATTTAGGAGAACACATAAAGTTATGAGGTCTAACCACCTTACATTGTTAATTAATGAAATAAAAGAAGAGGAGAAAAATGTTGATCTGTGTATTTTTCTGGCAACAAAAAAAATAATTCAGGTATTTTTCTGGCAAAACTAAATAACTTAGGTTTTTTTTAAGGAATTTTTCCAAAATTAGTAACGCCGTCGTTGACGGCGTTAACGCCCGTAACAGAGACGAGAGTAAATTGGAAACAAAAAATAGTTCGTGTTTTTTTTGTCAGCAGTAAATTAGTTTGGGTTTTTTTCCGGCAACGAAAAAAGTTCAGGTTTTTTTCTGGCAAATATTAAATAGTTGGGGTTTTTTTTGGGAATTTTCCCAAATAAACATTCACTTGGTTAAGAGACGTACGTAAATTGGTTATTTAATCAAAGGAACCGAATCGCCATAGAAAGAGATCTTCAAAACCACACACACATATTCCATACATTATCTATAGTTTCTTTTTTTTTGCCAGCCCATTATGTATGGTTTCCCTTATTATCCGGTTTGGTTAGTGATGGAAGACTTCCACTAAGACTGTATTGTGGTAGCATTGCCAAACATATCTGGAAGACTTCCACTAAGACTGTTTGTTACGAAGATTTAGCACTAAAAGGGAATTGGTTGAATTCCTTGTGCATGAAGGAATTGAGTTGTTGAGGAGATTGTTGGACAAGTCTAAAATACGAAAGATCTAAGCTTACACATATGATTTGAAAATTCTTGGAAACCACTTATATCAAGTGGAATCATGGATTCGAAGTAATTATTATTGAGGTAGATAATTCAATAAGTTTTGTTAGAAAACGAAACAGGAATATTTCTACTGAATTTGTTTTCAGCAAGGCTCAAGTATCTTAGTTGGGTTAGGTTTCCAATTGTAGATGGAACTTGACCTAGTGAGACAACAAAGGTTTCGGATTGAACAAAAAATCTCCTCATAAATATTGCAACCAGCAAGGGATAGGCTTTGAAGATTTTGGAGTTTGAAAAGACTGCTATTTTAGTTTCAAAGAGATGTTAAGAGAAACATAATCAAGGACAAGTGAAATCACCTGATTATATTTATCATCGCACGTAACACTCTCCCATAAACAACAATCACTACTCTTTAATAATTATCAATCATAAAAACGATACCAAAACCGTTACCAAAAGGTGTTACTATTCAGTTTTTTTCGTACCTCTTTACATTACTTTAGTATCGCTCATTGTTTCTTCTCTCCGCTAATTTTTTTTTTACCGTTTTGTACTTACCAAAAATCTGAATATAACTCCATATAAATTACTCTTATGGAAAAGAATTTTTTCTTAAAAAAATACATCTACTTATTGTTTTCTTTATCTCGTGTGCCCTACATGCTACAATAATTGTTTCAATCAAAAGCTCTTTAAACTTTTCCCTAAACCAATAAGGCAATAATCATTATATAATTCAAAAAGATTCTGCAGTATAAACATTTCAATTCATGGATTATAATAATGAACTCATTATAAAACCACACATCTAAAGAGTTAAAAAAAAAAAAAAAACAGCAAAACACACATTTTTTTTTTAAACCCTAAAAATCACCAAGGCTCATCAGGATAATCGAACGGTAGAGGTTGAAGAGGGGAAGTCTTCCCTAGATCCGAGTGTACGAAACCATACTTACGCATCACTTGATTATCAGCGAAATTAATGGCTTTGATCATCCCATTCCAACACGTGTCACCATCGTACATCTTATTATGATCACCACTACAAGGTTGACATCCCGTAAAATGCGTCACGAACGGTCTCCGTTTACTTCCTTTCCCGCCTCTTTCTCCTTTTAAAAACCGTTCCTCACGAAACGCACCGTATCGTTCACTCACTTTCTCTGCGTGACGTCTTCGCAACGTGGCGTCTTCTCGTTCCATCTCCAGATACCGTTCCGTTACGTTGGTTAAACCCGGTACGATCTCTAACCAATATCCTTCGAAATAAAAGTTTCCTTCGAGGTATATTTTGGGATAATACACTTCTCTGTGTTTGTAGAGTAAGTAAATCAGAGCCGTTTGATCGTCTGATTCTGGGAAGAGTTTGTCTTTGAATATTGACCGTTGGATTTGTCCCCATTTAGCGTACTCTGGACTCACTGGTCCCATACCTGCAGAAGATCAAATCAAACCAAGTTAACCAAACCGAATCGACGTTTAGTTGATTTGATTTTAGTAATTAACAGTGAAAAAGCAAACCGGCAAGAGGAAACATGAAATTTGGTAGCTGGTTCAGTTAAAAACAACTAAACCGAGTTAAATCAAACTAAAATTAAACCTACATTACAAAATTTTACCGTTAATTGTACTGAAAATTAAAGAAATATATCGAAATGCACCAATATAATTGAAATATACCGTAATTCAACTGAAATTACCAAAATTTTGACATAATTGATGTAAATTTAGTTGAAAATATTGAAATATACCGAAATGTACCAAATTTAACAGAACTTACCTTCAATTGAACGAAAATTTATCTAAACCAAACCGAGCTAAATTCAATTGAAGTTTAACCGAAATTTTGCCACAATTAACCATAAATTTAATTGAAATATACCATAATGTACTAAAATTATGACAATATACCAAAATTTAACTGGAGTCAAACCGAAATCACCAAAATTTTGTCAAAATTTATAAAAATCTATTCAAAATTATTGAAATATAGTAGCACCAAACTCTAAAATTCTTACCTAGAACCGAACCAAAAATTATCGTTAATAAACCAAAAAACCGAAATGTCAAAAATATCTTAACCAAACCGGACCATGCCTACTTATTAGGGTTTTGACGGTCCGGAGTCCAACACCAAATAAATATTCAAAAAAATAATAATCACAGGGCCCATACCTGTCCACGTGTCAATGAGCTCCATAGACCACTGACAATTCCTAATAAGGAAAACGCCGGCGTTCAACGCCGTCCAACTCCGATCATTATAAATAACTCCCGGCCAACCATGAACAACAAGATTATGCTCCTTATACCGATGCCACGGCGGCGTAAAATCCATATCCGTAAACAAAGCATCAGAATCAACCCACCAGATCCACTCCGCCTCAGGATGAGCAATCATCGCCGCTTTAACCGCCGGAAGTTTCGCCCAATAAGAATTCATCTTCGGATGAAGAAGAGCGTTACTATAGAATATATCATAACCATGGATCCGACAATAATCAACTTTATTCTTAAAGAACCGTAACAACAAATGATCTCCGATTGGGTTTTTACACGGCGCCGATTGTGATCCTGTTACCATAACCGTACGATTCTCAGCTCCGGTGATAAACGAAGGGTGTAGATTTAACCAACGTCTTCGTTTCTCGTCCCAGTTTTTAACCGGTTTTTCGATTGTATAGGTTAGATCCGGGTCGTCGTAGTAAACCGGGTCGGTTGGATCGTACTTCATGTCGATTTCTGGAGAACATTTGGCGGAGGATTCATTGGTTTTGACGGTGAGATTTGGTGAAATTGAAGAGAAGGAGAAGAATGACCAGACGAGGATTAAAGACATGAAAGCTCCGCCGAGGAAGAGAACGACGTCGGAGAAACATATGACCGGTCTGGTTCTTGTTCCGGCGTATTTAGCCATCGGAGATGATTGGTAATTTGATGATGATGTCTCAGGCGAGACCATTAACAAAATCTTTGAGGACTTTGTTGTATAAAGGCAATAATTTGTTTTTTTTGTTCTTTTTCAGTATTAATATAAATGTCCCATTAATCACTCGATTGATATATTACTTTAAGTGTATCAGATTTTTTGTTGTGACGTAATTGTATTTGTGAAAGTAAATGTTGTCAAAAAATATTGTACTCGGTAGTTTGGTTTTTGTGTTTTGATTGGTAGGTTTATAACTGCAAGAGATAAGGTTTTTATTTGTCAGAATTGTCATGTGATAGTGCTTTTGTTTTAGTTGAGAAATTTGAACAACGTGAGTGTGATGAACCGGGCCGGTTTGGTTCACCGACACTGCTGGTAAAATAGGATAAGTGTTGATTTCTACTTGTCGGTCAGTCGGTGTTCCGGTTAAGCAAGGGCATGTGAGATTGCTGCGGTAATTTAAGGATGCAGAAGATTACTCTATGTCACCCGCAATTTCGGCTTTTAATGTTGAAAATTGCACTTGCTTTAATTTTAGTTTATTTTATTTGAGTTGAGTTTTTTTTTTTAAAAAAAAATAGAGAATGAAATATATTATGTATACTGTATTGGACCTATATTCTAAAAGAAACTCTAAAAGCTAGTTCAAGAAAATATACTTTATTCTGAATTCGGAGCCATTGAAGACAGTCACGAAGAGACATCTTTATGCCCATCACAATTAATGAGAATGCACAGTATACGAAGCCATTATACACAAATATTCAATTTCGTTATGATACAAGCATATAGGGTTTAATTGGTAACCAAAAACGGTACAAATTTTTTAGCTATTAGCTGAAACTATAAATTTTATCGAAATAATGCAAAATTATAAAAAAGAGTTATACAAAAAAGCTGATAGTAAAACTGTTAGTAATGCTTTTAATAAAAAATTTGTGATTGGTAACTGTTAAAATTGTACACGTTGTACCGCTTTGATAATGGAGTACCATTCAAAACCACAGTAGTTTAATTTTTTTTTTTTACATATACTACTAGTTTAAAACAAAACATTAAGCTTAGATATACGATTGTACTCAAACCGACAAACATTTACATAGTCCAAGCCTTTAACGTGGATTAGATCTTAAGAAGAGTCAAATTGGGGATATATGCCATGTTAATATATATATGTCAGTTATTCTCCCATTCCATAATCATTTGATTATATAAAAGAAAAAAAAACTTTAACCTCTCATTCTCATGTTGAAATTGTCTTTTCTATAGTAAATGCTACATTTATAAAATAAAGGGATACTTTCTTTTTTACAACAGTAGAAAATCAAATATGGAACTATGATTACTGATTCAAGGATTCAAAAAAAAAAAAACTTTTCCTTTGGCAGGAAAAAAAGATAGAGAAACACAAAGTCTTCATCGTTGGCTTTCTTCCTCTCCGGCGGCCTCCATGGCGCTGGGAGGAACTCCTTGTAGCTTTAAGTTAGGTTTATTGCAGTTTGGTCGAAAGCCGGTGAGATTAACGGTGGTAAGCGAGGTGGACGTTGTGAGATTAGGGTTTCATTTTGTGTTTGTTTCTCTCTTCCTCTGTTTGAATTAGTTATTCTCAGTGGATAGAGCTTATGGCTGGAGATTTGCTCCCACATGTCTAGTCGTTTATTTGCGTTAAGTTTTAGAGAGTTTGTGTTTTTGGCGTTTGGAATTTGGGCGATTATAGGTTGTCCGACGGTTCTTTGAGCGGATCTGGATGCTCTCTCAACCAGAATTATTTGGACAAAAGCAATCAGAGATAGAGACTCATCATTTTTGGAGAAGGCCAATGGTTGTCTACTTGTCTTCAAGTAATCTTGAAGCAATGCTGCTATGGTTCCTCATTTGTCATTGTGAAAATCTGTCCTAGGTGTATGATTGGAAATGTCATTTGTTTGTAATTTGAAAACATTCCTTATCAATATTCAACAGATGAAAAAAAAAAAAAGATTACTGATTCAAGAAAACCTTTTTGTTTAAAGACTGCGACATTATTGAACCATAACAAAAAATGGCAAATGATTTACCAAAACAGAGATGTCATTATTGTTTCTATGAGAGAGAATCTTTCAAAAGAAAAAGCTATGACTATACACACCAATATTAGACAAAATAACAAATTGTAACTTTTGCCTTTAATAACAATATTAGAATTTTGAAGGAAGTGATAGTCGCAAGGTTGAGATAGTTATATCCAAAAACTGTGATACAATCTCTTCTTGGGTTTTGTATTTGTTCCCTAGTCTTTGCTTCAGCATCCAATATTCATAGAGCACAATCAGCACATAATCAAATCAGGCTTAGACTTTCAGCCAAAGTAATGTTAACTTTGGTTACCTTTGGTTAAGGGTTGTCTTCGGTTATTGGACAAAACCGACTAAGATCTCGGTTAACTTGAATTGTACCGGGATTTGTGGCATTTGAGTTTCTAGATGGGTTTTGGATGTGTCTGGGCTCGATTGTAGAAGCTGGCCCAAGTAGATTCTTCTGCGATTTGTGAGACAGTTTATCTTCATCAATTGGTGTCTTCTAGAGTTCTAGTTAAAACTATTAGACATACGAGTTAAAGATGTTTAAGAATGGATACGTTTGAGACTCATGATTTACAAGTTGGTTATAACCGATCCACAAGTTTAAATCATATTTCTTTTAATACATGACTTGAATTCAGATGTAATAACACTGAAACAACTACAGTCCTCTAAGTTATTCTGTAACTTCTAAAGTAGTCCATAATTATCCAATGGCAGAAAAATAAATATGAGATTCTATTTTCATCTAATCATCTCTCGCTTTCAAATAGACACCCATTACCATAATAACCATCCAAATTGAATCTCACATCGCTCTATTATCTCATTACTCATTATCTTATAAATTTCTCATTTTCATTTCTCTTTTATTTATTTTGTCTACTTATAAATTTACAACTATTTGTTTTATTGATTTATCACAAGAGTCTTCGAACAAGAGAGAGAAATAAAAAAGAATCCCACTTTCTGTACTAAAGACAACATCTATCATTTTCTTTTGATCTTGTACAAAAGTAAATGGCAAGTTGTAGATCCCGACCACCGTGTGTTGGTACGCTAAGCCGCGGCGAGGTTTCGGAAAACTCTGGTTTTCGGTCTAGACCTCCCGGTTCTTGGGGATGTCCGAAGAAAATGAGACAAAATCATGTGTCTTCTTCGACAAGGCAGCAACAACGAAGCTGGACCAACACCAACAGTGGACAAAGAGAGAGCCATTCCTATTTTGGAGACTCCCGTGGGGTTGTTGCGGCGGATGAAGCAGAGTTAGTGGCGGTGCTGAGGGAGGCTCATCCGTACGTGAATTTACATAGAGACAGTAAATTTGTCGTTATGTTGTCGGCTGAGCTACTTGACTCCGGTTCGACCCTCGATGGCATTCTCAAGGTCATTCTTATTTACTCTTTTTCGCATCACTAGATTCCAAAAAAAGACATAACGCGTGACTCGTGATCACTGAAATAATTTCTAAAATGATTTGGCAAAAGATGCGGAGACTAAAAAACGCTACGTTTTTCATTTTTTCTAAATAATATATAAATATTTAGTTACCAAAAACGTTGTTCTCGGTTTTTTACATCGTTATTTTATATCATTTTTAATTATTTTGATATCGTTTACTGTTTTATCTATCTACTAAAAAAATTGTACCATTTTGTCTCATCAGGATTCATAATAATTATGTATGCTAGTGTTTTTAAATCATTACTTTTTTTTTGGGCATCGTATTATTATTTGAGTTATTGTATAATTTGTATTTAAAGTAGGCATATTGTTGAAAAAGTTTTTTTTTTACAAATTAGACAAAAATAAAATAAAAACAATAACACGTTTGCAATGCATTTCACAGCTTTACGAAATTAACCAATCAGAAAATCGTAATAATTCAAATCAACATCTTACGTGGGCCGTGACGTTAGATATTTATTTCATTTCTTGTCTAGTCCTGAACTCACTATCCACTGACAAAGACAAGTGCAAATACCGGTTCACAAAACCAAACCGACAATTCAACCGTTCTCAATTCAATTCATAACCAGAATAAACCGAAATTGAATACACGCGTTCACACTAAGCTCCTTCCTTCGAATACTTTTCTTCTTCCTCCACCGATCATCCGCCATTGTTACTCAATTTTGCTCTGAATTCATCAGAATTATTCGAATTCCTTCCACGAATTTCGAAATGACGGAGCGTGGAGCTATGGTGGTATCGTCTTCTACCTCTTACCTTCCTTTTCGATGTCCTCAAACAAGAAAGGATTTTTCTTTCTTCGAGCCGAGTAAGAAGCTAAACCCTAATCGTCAATTGATAAAGTCTCCGTCTTCTATATCTTCTCCGCCACTGACGCCGGCGAAATGTAATATGTTTGATTGCGTGGAAACTGGTGAGAATTTTGTCGGCGATAAGCAATTTGTGCGGTGGTTTCGTGAAGCTTGGCCGTATCTATGGGCTCATCGTAGCTGTACCTTCGTCGTTACTATCTCCGGCGATGTCTTAGACGGCCCTTATTGTGATCTCGTTTTAAAGGCACTTACTTTATCTTTATCTCTCAATGATTTGGTTTATGCACGCAAGGTGTTTGATTGTTTGTCTTGCTTTATAATTGAACATGTAATATGTGTTTCTCTTGTGAGATTCGTCTTATTGATTGCTCATTGATCTTATTGATTCATATGCTAGTTTATGATCACTGTGCTTTAGATTTCAATTATTGTACTTTTTGTTTTGTACACAGGAATCCAAAGTGAAATCTTTTTGACATGTGTGCAGGACATAGCATTTCTTCATCATCTGGGCATTAAGTTTGTTCTAGTTCCTGGAACTCAAGTGCAAATCGACCAGCTTCTAGCTGAGAGAGGTCAGAATATTAAACTTGCCACTTATCTTCTTATTGGCTTGTTGCGGTATTTGACTGTTTTGAATCTCTCAGTCACTTGTAGTTATCTTTTTAGGCTTGTTTAGATATATATGATGTTAGGGATTTCACCTTTCTATTGATCTATTTAGCCAAATTTATTATGTGCCAAGTAATGGTTTGTCATCAGTTAGTGATGGCGAATTTGCAACCTTATTGTGATAAATATGGATCTTTGAGCTTGTTCAGATGGAGCCTAAGGTGTGTGAGTTGCAGGACGCGAGCCTACATATGTGGGTCGTTACAGAGTCACAGACTCAGCATCTCTGCAGGCTGCCAAGGAAGCTGCGGGAGCAATATCTGTAATGATTGAGGCCAAACTATCTCCCGGACCTTCTATTTACAATATACGCCGACATGGTGATAGTAGTCGTTTGCACGAAACAGGTGTTAGGGTCGATACTGGCAACTTCTTTGCAGCAAAGGTGAGTTTTTCACTTTCTTGATATATTAGTTTGAATGTCGATTCTTGTCATGTTCGATCTGATTAATTGTCGTGGCAGAGAAGAGGTGTTGTTGATGGTGTTGATTTTGGAGCAACTGGTTTAGTGAAGAAGATAGATGTAGATCGGATCCGTGAGAGGCTTGATAGTGGTTCTGTAGTTTTATTGAGGAACTTGGGCCATTCCAGCTCCGGAGAAGTCTTAAATTGCAAGTATGCTCTCTTTCTTAGTAATAATTTACTTGCTAAATCTTGCAGACGTTAGTTTTTGTCACCCTGATATTGGGACATTACTTCTACACTGCAGTACCTATGAGGTTGCTACAGCATGTGCTTTAGCTATAGGAGCAGATAAGCTTATTTGCATAATGGATGGTCCAATTCTTGATGAGAATGGACATCTTGTTCGGTTCTTGACTCTTCAGGAAGCAGATACGTTAGTCAGAAAACGGGCACAGCAAAGCGAGATAGCTGCCAATTACGTGAAGGCTGTTGGGGATGGAGGCATAAGTAGTTTTCCTGAACCTCTTGGTTACAATGGGATGGTGACGACTCCCAACAATCATATTCGGAGACCGATTTGGGAAATACACACTCCGACCTTTCAGAATGGTGTTGGATTTGACAACGGAAATGGGTTGTGGTCTGGGGAGCAAGGTTTTGCTATTGGCGGTGAGGAGAGAATTAGCCGTTTGAATGGATATCTCTCTGAACTGGCTGCAGCAGCGTTCGTTTGCAGAGTGAGTCCTTGAGCTAACCCTCGTGCCTATTTGTTTACATCCAGTTCTGATTCATTGATCTGTTGAAGGGTGGTGTCAATAGAGTTCACTTATTGGATGGTACTATAAGTGGAGTGCTATTGTTGGAGCTTTTCAAAAGAGATGGAATGGGGACTATGGTGGCAAGGTATACACAACTGTTTTCAGTTCCGAACCATTCAAAGTTTTGATCTTTCTTACAAAACTATGGACCCTTCTTGTCACAGTGATGTATATGAAGGAACCCGGGAGGCGAAAGTGGAAGATCTTGCTGGAATAAGACAAATAATCAAACCCTTAGAAGAATCTGGGGCTTTAGTTCGTAGAACTGATGAGGAGGTTCGCCTTTTAGCCGTAGGCTGAGCTTAGATTCTACTTGTTATTGTTTTGGTGTTAGCATCAAAGGATAATTGGTTTTTGGTGTTCAGCTACTGCGAGCTTTGGATTCGTTTGTGGTTGTGGAACGAGAAGGACAGATTATCGCTTGTGCGGCTTTGTTCCCTTTCTTTGAAGACAAATGTGGAGAAGTTGCAGCTATCGCAGTTGCATCAGATTGCCGTGGACAAGGCCAGGGAGATAAATTGCTCGGTATGATCACAAAACTTTTGAGCATTGTGTTTTCGAATCTACAGTTAAAGAGAAACCCCGGTTTCTTGAATGTGAAATGTTGCAGATTACATTGAGAAGAAAGCGTCAGCTCTTGGACTCGAGATGCTTTTTCTTCTGACAACGAGAACCGCAGACTGGTTTGTGAGACGTGGGTTTCAGGAATGTCCAATCGAGATGATACCAGAGGCAAGACGGGAAAGAATCAATCTTTCGAGGAGATCGAAGTATTACATGAAGAAGTTGTTGCCAGACAGGAGTGGGATATCTGTTGTTCGAACATTTCAGTATGGTTCTTGAGCGTGTCGATAAGAAGAAGATCCAAACACAGAGCAAACTAAAATGTAATTGACGCAGAAAGATTTATCCGAATCTCTAAGATTCTGCTGAGTTTTGAATCAATACGTCTACTAAATAATCCTATTTCACCTAGTCGGTCTCCAAACTCATCACATAGGGGTGTTTCAGTGAAGAAGATTATAATTAATTATTCTTGGATCGATTTTTGTTGTTGGGATCTAGGATTTAGAGGGAGTCTTAACTTTTTCAACATTTAAGATGTTTTTTGGTTGTTATGTTTTATTTTCGGATAATGTTTGGTGGATCATAAAACCACTTTTGAATGCGATTTGTGTTAAAACTCAAAAATTGTTCATTCCGCTGTGTATTGTTTTGCATGATATGATTTGTGTTTGTGAATCTTGAAAGGATAATTGCAGGAAAGCTTGAATTGACAAATTGGATCAAAAAGGGGGAGATTGTAAGTGCACCCTTTCCCAGGATTTTTGAAAGGTGCACAGGTTGCTGGAACAAGCTGAAAGCTGTTTCAAAATGCAGAATTGATGACCAAGCAATTAGTGCTGAAGTGGACTATCTTCATTATGTTTGGAAAGAAGATATTCTTGTGAAGAATTGGAAATATCCAAGATCGTGAAGACTAAACCTAGAAGATCCGAAGACCTTATGGATATAAAAGAGGTGCTAAGGATTTTGCTAGGGTTAGCCGTTTTGAGAGTGAAAGCTTCTTCATTTTGTAAGAGAGTAAGGTTTACTCTGTTCGGATACAAAAAAGATTAGAGAGTGTGTTCTTGTGATCTTCTCTTGTGTGTCTTAGAAATCTCAGGTGACAAACTAAAGTAGTTTAGGTCTTGTGTAAAGCCAGTTAAGAGAGTTGTAACTTCTTAATAAAATTTCTAATAAAGTGATACTCAGTGTTTCTGGAAAAAACAGTCTTGTATTCATCCGGTTTTTCAAGAGAGACGTGATCATGGGTCATAATGACGCTTGGGGATTTGATTAGAGCCTTTGGTTGCAAGGGGGATGAATCTAGACATGAATTTGTTGATCAGTACCTTTGGACGTCTAAGATAACCATGGATGAATGTAGGGTCAGGATCTCCATGAAATAATTTACACGTGATTCTTGATGAAGAATAGACATTTCTAGATAGGGAAATGTTCTTTATGACAATTATTTGTTCCACTTTTTGTGATCTCGTCTCGTGGGTTGACTCTTTTTTTTATACTTCTAAATTATTTAAAGACTTCACCTTATCACAACAATCCCACATAACTACTTGTATCGCCATGTTAATAAACTTAAATTTTATCTCTTCTATGCTATTCGGATGCTCTAACATTGTAATATGTTTTTTTTTTCGGTTTTCGTTTATGTTTTAGAATTACCCATTTGTAAATATATTTTTTTGATTAATAAATTCAATATTTTAATGAAAATTAATTTTTGCTTTTTTATACGGTTGACAAAAACTAAAAAACTACGCAATAAGTTATCATACAAAACAATGGAAGTTAAATAAAAAAAGTAAGATAAGACATAACATGATTGAATGGTCGCAAAAGAAATGTACTTACCTTATCAATATTCATTTTTAACATCTTTAAATTAACAATGTCCGATCTATAATCAATTTCTACTACGCATGGTAACGCGAGCTAGTAGAATTGAACCCCAATAGAGAAAGCTGCATATATGAGCCGTAAATTATTGGACTAAAAACACTTCCCCACCCTATCAATATAAATAGATTTGAATTTTATATGGACACGATATATACATAAAGAGTAAGTGAGTAAAATAAATGATATTGATCGAAAAATAGAATTGGAAATACATTAAAAACCTTTATAAATTAATACTGTTTAAATATATTGATTTATCAAGGTATTAATTAGTTGTCGATTTTTTTTTTTTTTAGAATTTATACTATATGGGCCTACTCCTACATATATTCAATAAAACGCCATCAAACCTCTATTATTGGTAATATATGTATATTATATTAGTGGAGAGTCGTTGAGTGGTGACCTCGCATTTCACAAAACCTCTATGATTGGTATTATTATAACGATCCTTGTTTTCTAAGAGGACTCAATCTTTAGAAACTAAGAGAGAATGAAATTAAAACTAAAATTGCTGCTTCTGCTTCTGTTTATCTTGAATCATCATGTTGATTCTGGCTCTATCGTCAAGTTCCTTCCCGGCTTTGAAGGCCCTCTTCCTTTTGAACTCGAAACCGGGTTTGTTAATTCTCTCTTTTGCAACAACGTGTTTTGATTTTGGAGTTAGTAAATTAGTCATGATTTTGAATGAAGGTACATTGGTATTGGTGAGAAAGAGGAAGTGCAATCGTTCTACTACTTTGTCAAATCTGAGAACAATCCAGAAGAAGACCCTCTTCTTCTTTGGTTAAGTGGAGGACCTGGATGTTCTTCTATCACTGGCCTTCTTTTCGAGAATGGTAAATCTTTTTTTTTTTTTTTTTGCCTCTTGCTCTAAGAATTATTTTCAAAGGCTTGGTTAAAAATATTTTAGGACATGTGGTCGTTTTCTTTATTTCTTAATTAGGACCTTTGGCTTTGAAGTCCGAGGTTTACAATGGAAGTGTCCCTTCTTTAGTCTCTACTACATATTCGTGGACAAAGGTAGAAGAAAGTATGTTCATATGTTAATAAAAAAAAACACACAATGATCTATCAAATTTTTTGATTATTTATTCAGACGGCGAACATAATATTCTTGGATCAGCCTGTTGGAGCTGGCTTCTCCTACTCAAGATCCTCACTTATTGATACGCCTACTGACACAGGCGAAGTTAAGAATATCCATGAGTTTCTCCAAAAGGTAAAAGACGTAACTTAATTTGTCATCTCAAAGCATTTTGTATGTTGTTATTCACTTATTTGTGGTTTAAGGTTTTTAACACAAATTAATAAAAAAAAATTAAATTATCTGTTTTACTACCTTTTATTAATATATTTTTACAAAAAAAAAATCATTAGTCAATATATTAAAGTAAATATTATATGAAACTTAATTTTTAATTAAAAATCTATATTGAAAATCTAAAACGTTGCTTTTTGTGAAAAAAACTTTAATTGATAAAACGACACTTAAACTAAAACGGAGAAAGTAACTGAAGCAAGTTTAACAATTAGTAGATATGCCAACATTTTGTTTTACCATAGATGAAACTACAAACATTTTGTTTAATCTACTTTTCAAATTAGTCAAGCTTGGTATATCTTGAGTTCTTATTAACTTCCCAAATTACTTAAACACCAACCTTAAGAGTCTTTTTTTTTTTTAGTGGCTAAGCAAGCATCCACAGTTTTCTTCCAACCCTTTTTATGCTAGCGGAGATTCTTATGCCGGTATGATTGTTCCAGCCCTCGTTCAAGAAATCTCTAAAGGTATCCTCATATACTTTTTCTTTGAATATTGTTTAACCATGCTCTTTAAAATAACATACACTATGATGCAGGAAATTATATATGTTGCAACCCTCCTATAAATCTACAGGTCATTGACATTTAATTGCTCCTTGTCATTTCCTAAGAATATTGATTTTTTAAAAAGTTCTGATCAAATCATATTATTAGGATTTTTTTTGTACACTAGAAATTGATAGTTATGTGCCGACAAAATAAAAGAGATTGATAATTGTGTTTATATATATATATATTTTTTGTTAAGTTGATAGTTATATATATTCTTACCAAAAACAGGGTTATATACTCGGGAACCCGATAACATATATTGAAGAAGACCAAAACTATCGCGTTCCATTTTCTCATGGAATGGCACTAATTTCCGATGAACTATACGAGGTATGAAGTATATGGCATGCTTAATTAGTAAAAAAAAAAATGATTAGAGAGTTTTATATTCTGCCATCTTTTGTTATCCATGACATATTTCAAAACTCTAAATGATATAACAATTAATGTATAATACATTTTCTTATTCTTGTGTTAACAGTCAATTAGGAGAGCCTGCAACGGAAGATATTTCAATGTGGATTCACGTAACACAAAATGTTTGAAACTTATTGAAGAATACCATAAGGTACACACTTTGAAATATGGTCGATGTTCAGTAATTTATCAGATAGTGATCATCTAATTCGGATTTTATTTTTTTCTTAAACTTACAGTGTACCGACAAACTAAATGAATTCAATATATTATCACCAGATTGCGACACGACATCTCCTAATTGCTTTGTAAGTAATATATCTTTCTCCATCTAGTGACCCTTGTAAAAGGGTTGGAAATAATCTGATGTGATAAAAAATATTGGTTAACTGAAAAATTAGAGAGAAAATCAAATACTAAAAGAAAAATTATCCATTTGAAACGTAACGGAAATATATATCTCTCCATAAGATACATATATCTCTATAAATTAATATATACTAAGTATAGCTCCTCCTGGCCTCGGAATTAGTCGGATCTCATGACGCGTTGATTCTAGAACTAGCTAGAGAGAAAAGTTTCCGCAACCTGGTTCAGAATTTATTGGAAAATGAACATTTCTAGCAATTTTTCCAAATTATAGCTCTGGTTTTGATTTCTGAATTGTTTAATTATTTAGTATTTGTCAACAACAAAATATAGAAAAGTTTACACAACTAGTATAGTATGATGAAATTTTGATCAAGCCAAGCAAAATTTGTTACCAAAAGTAGATTGTACAATCTTTTTTTAAAGTAAGAATTTAATAAAAATGGATTAATCCATATGAAAATGACGTATGAACGTATGCTTATTTTGTTTAAGCCAACAAAACAAATTGTCATCATTTTTATATATTTTTAAGGTTTCTTTTGCAGTTATATCCATATTATCTCCTTGGCTACTGGGCCAACGAAGAGAGCGTTCGCAATGCTCTTCATGTTAAGAAGGTATACGATTAAAATTTTAAAATCTAAAATATTGAAAATGTGTGATGATAATAAATAAAAGAAACCTTGAAATCTAAAATATGGACGATTTATGATTACAGTGGAGTATTGGAGAATGGGAGCGATGTACTTATCAAAGAGTTATCCCATACAACAAAGACATCAATAATAGCATACCATACCATATGATGAACAGTATTAGTGGCTACCGATCTCTTATCTACAGGTACGAGTTAGATACCTAAATCGATTTTTAAAGAACCTGATCAAAATATTCATAATCAGAGACATCGAGCCAAACCAAATTGAATCAAACCGAAATTTGTTATCATTTTACTTTTGAAACCGAAAAAATGAAACCAAAACTGGTTTAGTGAACTGAATAAACAAGAATTTATTAAAATTCAAAAAAAAACCAAGAATTTATTAAAATTCAAAAAAAAAAAAAAAACAAGAATTTATTAAAATTTTAGGCACATCCATATTACGTAAATACCAAATTTACTAAATTTTTTGTTAAGTATCCAATACCCAAAGACGTCGACTTTACCTAGGTGAATACAAAACAAACCAGAGAGAAGTGAGTTTGTTTACCCTGTTCACTCCCAAAGGATAGTTACGTCTGGGCTGAGAATGTGACTCGAAATCTACTGGTTTCAAGACAGATATTACAATAGAAACTATAAGTGACCCACTTTAATGACATTCATTAGCACTTAAATCTTACTCTATCAGTTCCTATGTCTGGAGAAAACCAGAATCAATTTATGCTATTACAAGTTTTCTCTCTTCTCTCCATCTCACTGTAAACCTCAATATTTCTCACACTCACATTTGTAACCTTAAAGCACTTGTTTATAACTAGGCAAGTAGGACTTCCTTGTGCAAATGTAAGTCGCTTGTCCAGGACAGGTTTTAACCCTTAATAAAGACGGCAAGTGTAAAGTACAAACAAAGTAATATTTAGGGATCAATCTACAGAGATGAAAGAAACACACAATACACTATATATATTTAGATTTAGCTAGAACAAAATAGGAGTTATAGGAACTTGTGTAAGATTTTTAGAAATAAAATAATTACTAAATAAATTATATACAAGAATATTGAATCTAGAGAAATCATCAGGGAGCTCAAATAAAAATAAGTAATTAATCATGAAAGCATTAAGATTCATTATTGAATTTGAATTACTTAGGTTTTATTATCCTGCTCTCGCAAGTTATTATTAACTATGAAAGATGTTTTCTAAAGAACTCAACTATTGTTTATTGTAAGATATTCTACCAAGCTTTAAGAAGTTAATTTAATAAACTCACAAAAAAGGATAATATCAACTTTTGGTAGGTTAAAGAAGGTTTACCTATCGAATGATAGATCCATCAATTCGTCACCACTTATGGTGGCTTGATGAATTCAACTATAGACATTTGTTAAATTGGCCTAATTCAACGAAAGTATTAAGAACAATCAATGATAGAGAACTAGAAGAACAATCCATAAATAAAATAACTAGATTACATCATGATGAAATGAAGCAAACCAAAGTACAAGTAGATTTTATATGCTTGAGTTTCTCTCAAATATCGAAAAATATCAAATTGAAACCAATACCTTAATCCATAGTGAGCATTCCTACCTACAAATTTTAAGAGATTATAAATTTTGCGCGGTTTATGGTGAACAGTGGTGATCATGATTTGACGGTTCCTTACCTCGCCACTCAAGCCTGGATAAAATCTCTAAATTACTCCATCATTCATGAATGGAGACCTTGGCTGATAAAAGACCAAATCGCTGGGTATATTTATATTGTGTTTTAGGTTTCTCTTGTTCATTCATTTTTTCATCGTATCGCAAGCTTATAAAAGCTCCCGCAAGAATCATTCATGCCATTTTTTTTTTCTTGACAGATACACGAGAACTTATTCCAATAAGATGACATTTGCTACTGTCAAAGCAAGTCTTCTTGTTTCAATTTAACATTTCTATTAGTAATTTCATTAAATCAAAAATATTAAATTTTCTAATTGTTTTGATTATAGGGAAGTGGGCACACAGCAGAGTATAAACCAAATGAGAGTTTTATCATGTTTCAAAGGTGGATTAATGGCCAACCTTTGTGATTAAGTATACGATATAAAAAATATGTAACATGAAATGTTTGTATACATTACAATTATCTACTATGTTCGACATGCTTGGGATGGAGATAGTAACCAATTAATGAGGTACTACTTAAGACTCATCTTGGGTCTAAGGAGACTACATGCCAAAGACCTAGAACTTCCTGGTTAACTGATCTTTGCGTTTTAATCAATTAATATCCTAACGCACTAACGATCCTATTGATCTAGCACTTAGGCTCGAACCACAAGGAGCAATCAACTAATTCATCAAGAATACACAAATTCTCTTAATCTAAGCTAACAAGATTGGATTTATAATTTACTAACAACCTATTTGAAATAACCAAGAGAAACAAGATTAAAGCAAAACAAGATGCAACTAAACAAAAATCAAAAGAAGAACAAGATAAGAAAATTAACGAAGCGGAAAGTAACAATTCAAAAGAATAAATATCAACTCACTAATGCTATTTTTAAAAATTTATGTAATGTGTGTTATAAACTTATAATTATCTACAAAATATGTTTTTTTTTTTTTTTTAACAAAATATGTTTTAGTTTATTCTAGTATATTTCTCTAGTTTTTATGTTTGTTTATGGGAGCAATATCTGTGATTTTTGAGGCCAAACTATCTCCTGGACCTTCCATTTACAATACACGCCGACATGGTGATAGTAGTCGTTTGCATGAAACAGGTGTTTTTCACATTCTTGATATATTAGTTTGAATGTCGATTCTTTTCATGTTCGATCTGATTAGTTGTCGTGGCAGAGAAGAGGTGTTGTTGATGGTGTGGATTTTGGAGCAACTGGTTTAGTGAAGAAGATAAATTGCAAGTCTTGCAGACGTTGGTTTTTGTCACCCTGATATTGGGACATTATTTCTACACTGTAGTACCTACGAGCTTTGGATTCGAGATGCTTTTTCTTCTGACAACGAGAACCGCAGACTGGTTTGTGAGACGTGGGTTTCAGGATTGTCCAATCGAGATGATACCAGAGGCAAGACGGGAAAGAATCAATCTTTCGAGTAGATCGAAGTATTACATGAAGAAGTTGTTGCCGGACAAGAGTGGAATTTCTGTTGTTCGAACATTTCAGTATGATTCGTGAGATTGTTGATATATTACGGATTTTACCGATTTTAGTTAAGATATATGTGTCGGTTTTAGAGTCTTTTTGTTGTTTCTAGTGTCTTTTTGAGTCTTTTCAGGTTTTTACACGTTCGGAACAAATCTGGAGATAAGGAACCATTCTGGAGCTAAACCGGCGATTTAGAGCTAAATAAACGATTTTGGTGTCAGACCAAGGCATGAGTGTCGACCGACACCCTTTGGCGTCGCTCGACACCACACGAGGCCCAGCAAAAAGTCTCGATGGTTTGGAGTTTTTAAAACCCGAAGAATTAACCCAGAAGACTTCCCTATTTGCAACTTTAATCCCTGCACGTTTTTGGAGACTTTATAAATAGTTTTTAGGGTTTTTCTATTTTATAATCTTAGATTTTGCTTTCTGTTTTTGGCTTGGTAATTCTCTCAGCTTGAAGTAGAACTTGATCATAGGATAATAGGTCTTGATCTGAGAGGGCGCCTGATACTGGAACTATCTTAGGTGGGCAAAGATTTCTAGA